GATGGTTTCTGTGGAGGTCTCTGGTGACACTGTGAGCTGAGCAAGGCCTGAGACGGATGTTCTGCTAGAGGAGGTGACTTCTGTCCTGGAGACTTCAGCAGTGGCATCAGCAGGCACTCCAGAAAGGACAGTGCTCATCTCTGTGGCTGAGCTGGTCCCCCCAGGGCTGCTGGTCTTTCTCACTCCAAGGGTCAGGGAGGATGTTGGTTCTGTCCGAATTTTGCTAGTCTGAAAAAAGCCAAGAGTTGATGTGGAGACACTTGTATCCTCCACGGTGGAGGTAATAACCACTGGAGACATGACGTTGAATGTCTTTGAGTCAGCTAGGACAGAGGAAGGGGATTCATGTCCAGAACTGGAGGTACCCACATCGGTCACTGCTCTGTTTGAAGAAGGATGAATTTTCTCCATATCTGTGGTGACTTCAGAGGTGGCCAGTATTTCAACTGAGATGCTGCTCAAATTTGCAGGTGAGTTGGTTACAGGTTCCAAGCTTTTGTGCAACGTATCTGTAGTTTTTGCCAGGCCAGATGTAAGGAGTGATGTCACAGGAAGAGGAGAGGAAGAGATGCTGTCTGTTAATGTGGAGGAAACAGGAGAAGGTGAAGTTGTGGCTGGTGAAGACATCAGAGAAGAAGAGCTAGTTTTTTCCAGAAGGGGAGGGCTCATCCATGATACATCCTCAGGACCCCTCTTCATAAGAGTGCTCATCTGTGAGTGTGAAAATCCTTGAGATAGAGTTGAGTGTGTCATTGTCAAAGGGGTTATGCTTGAAGTGTCCAAAGTACTGGTGCCTTGTGTTGTGGCCCCTAAAGGACTTGTGTGGGTGTTCATGGTTATTTCTGTTGATTCTGTCATGACAGGGGATGTAGAGAACCAACTGATGGTTCCTGTGGAGATGTCTGGTGATATTGTAGATGGAGTGGGACCTGGGATGGAGGTGATGTCTTCCTTGGAGATCTCAGTAGTAGCACCAGTGGACACTTTAGAAAGGATGATGCTCATCTTGGTGCCTGAGCTGGTCCCTTCAGAGCCACTGGACTCCCTCAATCCAGGGGTCGGGGAGGAAGTTGGCTCTGTCTGAATCCTTCTAGTCTCAAGGATGGCAGGAGTTGATGTGAGAACACTTGTATCCCCCATGGTGGAGGTGGTACCCATTGGAGAAGAGGCTTTGGATGTCTCTGAGTCAGCTAGGACAGAGGATTGTGATTTATATCCAGAGCTGGTGGTCGCCACATTGGTCCCTCCTGTGTTTGTGGAAGAATGCACAGCTTCTGTATGTGCAGTGTCTTTGTAAGTGGTCAGTCTCTCACGGGAGGTGCTGCTCAAACTTGAAGATGAACTGGTTCCAGGTTCTGTGCTTATACCCAAGTTATCTGTGGTCATCACCGGGCCAGAGGTGAGAAGTGAAGTCACAGGAAGGGGAGAGTGGGGGATATGTGCTGGGAATGTGGTGGAAACAGGATGAGGTGAGGTCACAGCAGGTAAAGACAGCGGGGAAGATGGAGGGCCGGCTTCTTTCACAACGGGAGGGCTAGGCCATGACACACCTCCAGCACCTCTGCCCATGGAAGTGGTCATCTCTGGGTGTGGAAATCCCTGAGTTACTGTAGAGTGGGTTTCTTCCCAAGAGGATGTGGTTGCTGTGTCCGAATTAAGGATACTTTCTGGTGTAGACCCCGGAGGACCTGTTTGGGTTGTGATGGTCATTTTGGCAGATTCTGTCATGACAGAGGAGGCAGAAATCCTGGTGATGGTTTCTGTGGAGATGTTTTGTGACATTGTGGACTGCTCAGGGCCTGAGATGGATGTTCTGCTAAAGGAGATGGCTTCTGTCCTGGAGACCTCAGTAGTAGCACCAGTGGACACTTCAGAAGGAACAGTGTTTGTCTCTGTGGCTGAGCTGGTCTCTTCAGAGGTGCTGGTCTCCCTCAATCTGGTGGTCAGTGAGGAAGCTGGCTCTGTCTGAATTTTCCTAGTGTCAGATAAGGCAGGAGTTAATGTGGAAGCACTTGTATCCTCCATGATGGAGATGGTACCCATTGACGATGTGGCTTTGGTTGTCTCTGAGTCAGGTAGGACAGAGGAAGGGGATTCACGTCCAGAACTGGAAGTTCCCACTTTAGTTACTGCTGTGTTTGAGAAAGGATGAATTTTCTCTGTATCTGTGGTGACTTCAGAGGTGGCCAGTATTTCAACAGAGGTGCTGCTCAAACTTGGAGGTGAACTGGTTTCAGGTTCTGCGCTTGTGTCCAACACCTCTGTAGTCTTCACTTGGCCTGGCATGAGAAGCAAAGTCACAGAAGCAGAAGAGGAGTGGCTACTTGCTGGTAATGTGGAAGAAACAGAAGAAGGTGAGATCATGGCAGGTAAAGATAGTTGGGAAGATGGAGTGTTGGTTTCTTCCACAGAACCTCTACTCACAAGAGTGGTTATCTCTGAGTGTGGCAATCTCTGAGTCATAGTCGAGTGGGTTATTACCAAGGAGGGTGTGGTTGATGTGTCTAATGTAAGGGGACTCCCTGGTGTCGATCCAGGAGGACTTGTTTGGGTCCTGATGGTCATTTCTGATGATTCTGCCATGATGGGGGAAGTAGGGAACTTAATGACTGTTCTTGTGGTGGATATTTCTGGCAACATTGTGGACTCAGCAGGACCAGAGATGGATGTTCTGCTAGAGGAGGTGACTTCTGTCCTGGAGATCTCAGTAGTAGCACCAGCAGGCACTTCAGAAAGGACAGCACTTGTCTCCGTGGCTGAGCTTGTCTCCACAGAACTGCTGGTCTCCCTCAATTTAGGGGTCAGGGAGGAAATGGACTCTTTCTGAATTCTGCTAGTCTCCAAGAAGTAAGGGGTTGATATGGCAAAAGCTGTGTCCTCCTGTGTGGAGATAATAAACATTGGTGATGTGGTTTTGGATGTCTCTGAGTCAGCTAAGGTAGAGGAAGGGGATTCATGTCCAGAGCTGGAAGTCTCCACATTGGAAACTGCTGTGTTTATGGAAGGAT